CCGTGCCGACGCCAATTTATTTTTTATACCCGTTCCGCGAACCCTCTCTCGCGGAACAGCGTCGGTGGAGGCGGAACCTCGGCGTCAGCACCAAGACAGGCATGCCGCCGCGCGGCCCTGCGGCGTACCGGAACTCGCGGCGCCGGTTGCCAATGTCGCCGTCGGCAGGGCGCAGGGGCCGGGACCGCAGCAGACTCATTCCGAGAGTCGTCTTCGTCGCTCTGTCTCCCTCGCACTCCTGGGCGTCCCGTAAAGGCGCGAGAGAGACAGAGCGAAGAAAACAACGCTCGGAGTCAGTCTATAGCCGCCCCCATTCCAGTACAGACATCCGGAGACCCGCAATGCCCTCCCCTGCTGGCACCCTATCAAAACACGCCACTTTATTCACCCTCCAAGATTTATCCGAATCGCGCTGAAATCGGCACGAAAACGACAACACGCGACTGAGTGCCAGGCCGTGCCGCGCGAGGCGGTGCCAGCGGGTTGCCAGCGGTTGCCAGCGCAAGTGGACGCGAAAAAGGCCGCGATGAAATAGTTGCTGAAGCAGCGGCGGTTCGATGCCCCGTCCCGTCCCTGTCGCGTGTCTCCGCGCGGCGCGCAGCGCGAGCGAGCGAGGGATGCAACTTTCCGCCGCCCCGCCGCCCCGCCGGCACGAGGAATGTTTAAAGTGCAAGTTGTCCACTGCCACACCGCCACACGTCACCGACGGCGGACTGCGACCGCGGCGACCGCGACGACCGCCCTGATGTCTGTGTCAGGCCGCCCCTCGCCGCCCCGCCCCGCCAGGCTGTCAGGCCGACGGGGACGCGCAGCGCGCAGCCCCGCGCCTGGAAAAGGTTAGCGCAGCCCCGGCGTGCCCCAGCCCCCATTCAGCAGGCTGCGGCGGACAGATTCCGAGAGTCGCCCTGCCCTCGTCGCTCCGTCTCTCTCGCACCCACAAGGACGCCCCACGCGTGCGAGAGAGACAGAGCGACGAAAACGACTCTCGGATTCAGTCGGCAGGCGAAAGGTCGGACACAACGGCTCGTAAAATTTCGCTTTGATGCCTCCATGCATGCGCAGAGTCAGGCCAGTGCCTGGCAAGGTCGCTTACACGGCGGTGATGTAAGCGCGCCGGGGGGCTGTAGCACTACCACTGCGTGTGCTCATCCGCGGCAGGGCGTCGAACCTCGGCCAAGCCAACCATCGGCTTCGTCGCTCTCGCACCTATACGGATTGCCCAACGAGTGCGAGGGAGACACAGCGACGAAAACGACTCTCGGAGTCAGTCTAGAGCAACCAGCGCAGCCAGCGCGCGGCCCGCGCGGGGTTCGAAGCCCGGCCCACCGCAGGACCCACACTGTCAGCGGCCAGGACGCTGAATTGAACGAAACGGCCGGCCAAACTCGGCGGGAAGGCCAAGCCGGGCGAGCAGCTGTAGACTCGTTCCGAGAGCCCTTTTCGCCGCTGTCTCTCTCGCACCTACACGGGACGCCCCATGAGTGCGAGAGAGACAGAGCGGCGAAGACGACTCTCGGAATGAGTCTGCTGGACACGGCGCCGAGGGCCGCGGCCGAGGATGGCGACGGCGCGCAAGGCGGCGATACCGCCACGCCCCGCGTCATTCATTAGCGCCGTCAATCAATCGGGGAGGCGCGAATTAGCCGCGCAGTGCCGCGCAGTGCAGAGACTGCCGAGGGCGTGGCCCGCCGTCATCGGCGTCCTGGATTGGGGGAAGGCCCCGCCCACGACTCTGCCTCCCCGCACACCGTGTGCACACGTCAACCCTTGTCTGCCCTAATCACCCTCGCTGCAGGCACAAGCGCTGGAGGCAGCCCTGGAGGCGCCTGGAGGCCCTGGAGGTCCTGGAGGTCCTTGAGGTCCTAGTGGCCCGGGAGGCCCTGTAGTACCTGGAGGTTCTGGAGGCCCTGGAGGCCGCATCCCCCTTTATCGGTGAATCTGCTGCCCAGTCGGACTGCCGGTCGGCCGGGCATCTACTTGGCCTGCTTCTCGGCAAGGCTGGCAAGGCCAGCTCTACTCGCCGTCCGCGCCTACTCGGGCCACGCCGCCCCGCCACGCCCCGCCACGCGGCGCACCGTCAGCAGGTCCGCGGTGGCGTGGCCGTCCAGGCCGTGCAGGCCGTGCAGGCCGTCGTGGCGCGGAATGGCGTGAGCAGTGCAGCAGTGCCAATACGGGAAGCCTGCCGTGCCCGCCGTGCCCCAACCCCAGTGGGCTGATTCCGAGAGTCGTTTTCGTCGCTCTGGCTCTCTCGCACTCATGGGCGCCCAGTGTAGGTGCGAGAGAGCCAGAACGAGAAAACGGCTCTCGGATTCAGTCTGCAGGGCGTCTGCTTGGCGACACCGCACACCGCATCGCGCTGCTCGTGTTCGGCAGTCCAGCGCACGGCACCATGGCATGGCGATGGCGACAAGGCGGGGTCGAGTCCTGGCGTCCTGGCAGTCGAGGCGCCAAAAAATGCGTGCGGCGATGCTGGGCATGCAGACGGACGGGCCTACGGACGGACAGACAGACAGACAGACAGACAGACAGACAGACAGACAGACAGACAGACGGACAGACGGACAGGCTGGCTGGCGCCGCGGGCCGGCAAGCATCCGCGACCCCGGAGAGGCCCTCCCGTCCCTGGGGCTGGGCAGGCTGGGTAGGCTGGGCAGCGCGTAGCGGCCAAGGTCGCGCTGCCTGCGCTGCCTCGCCGGCGTTCATTCATGTCACATATCCTCTCTTACGCTCAGCCCGACCCGGCCCGGCGCGGCGCGGCTCGCCAGTTTATCGTCGTGTCGCCAACTCGACCCATTCCTCGCGGCGTTGCTCGGCGTGGGGCTGGTGCTGGTACGGCGTGGGGCCGCGCGACGCCGCCACGCCCGGAAGCGTAAGCGTCGCCCACAAAGTGCGCTAACGAGTACGACGCCGCCCTCGCGGCGCGTAGCGCGTCCTAACGCCGCGTTAAGTGCGGCAAAGCGGGTGCCCAGTGCCATTAATGTGCCCTGCGCTCTACGCCCTACGCGGCCCAGTGGAACGACTGGCCGGCTGGTCCCCGCTCGGAGCGCGTGCAGAAGTCGACCACAAACCCCGCGCTGCACCATTTTCCGAGACTTTCCGCTCGCTTCGACTCGTCCTGGCCGCCAGACGCGCGCCGCGGCGCCTCCGCCGCGCGATAGCCATCAGTGCTGAGGCTGCAGCCTCCGCGTCGCGTCCCCGCCGTCCCCGACGGCCCCGACGGCCGAAAAGGAAAGGAAAGCAACAACAGCGGGGCGAGGCGAGCGCGAGGCGAGGGCCGCACCGCCTTCATCCAGCCCTTGGTCGCGGCCAGCACTGCCCAGTGGCCAGCCCGTTATCACACAAGGTACCCGGGGTGTCGGGTGCCGTGCCGGGGTCACAGGGTGAGGGCCTTGAAAGCCTTTGAAGGCGCCGCCGCCGGGTCCCTACACTCGTTAGCAAATAGGGGGAAGGGCGGTGCGGTTGTCGGCGATAACGGCTCGCCGATGATGCGAGCCGCCAGGCAGTGGCTGCCACCGAGCGCGGCGCGGCGAGTCTGTAAATCAGTTGACAGCAGCGCCGCCGCCCTTTTTCGCCACGCTCGACACAATATCTGCTCGATTTGCGCACGCAATGTCGCTCTCCATGCGTCGTGCCAAACTGAAAAGTGGCAACTGGCTCTGCACAGACAGAGCCACGCAGCGTGGCCTCGCGTTGTATCGCGGCTTGATGAGATTAAGAGCGGCGTCTAAGAGGTATCACAGTCTCCCTCCCCACTTTTTCCACTTCTGCCCCGCCTATTTATTATACACGAGATACGATTCAGGGTTATCTTGAGTCAATGGCCTCGGAAACCATTCATTCGTGTATTCATTCATTTATCGAAGTCGCCAAGCGCCCAACGGTTCATTCATTCATTCGCTGGGCGAATCGTGGGTACTTACTGTGGTGCAGAGGGGTCGTAATCCAGTCCGGCGGGAGGGCGCCACCCCCGCTGCCCGTCCACCCCAGGCATTTCCTTGCCGCCGACGTAATTTTCGAAGAATTTCAGCGACACTCGAACGAAAAACACTGCCGCACTAGTCCACTGCGTTGCTCACTTGCACTTATTCCCTGGTGGTGCCGGCGACGTAGTCCACGTTAAGGCGGCGGACGGCGGCCATGAGGGAGGCTTTCGTGTGCTCACTTGGTTCGTGTCCTCCGGTTCCGAAAAAGAAAAACTCCAACTTTGTGCGTTTCAGTGTGAGGTGTTTGCGTGCCTGTGTCGGCAGGGCAGCTCCGCGACGCTCCGCGACAGGCATCCGATCGTCTCGCGAACGAGTTCACGCACGAGCCTCGTCACTCTGCACCGCCCTGGCCGTGCCCAGCCTTCCCGCGCCGTGAGCTGCCAGCTACTCCACCGCCGAGAAGCCGGCAACTGAACACCCGAGTGGGAAGCACCGCAGCACCGGCACGGCCACCACCAATGTGGCTCCACCGCGCCAACGCCAGCCGCGGCCGCCAGCCCGGCCAGCCGGCGTACCGAACAGGCGTAAAGTCCCCCCCACCCTCACCCCTTTCTTCACCCCTCCCCTTCCCTTCCCTTCCCTTCCCTCGGCGCCCGCACTCTCCTCCGCTCCCCTCACCGCTCTCCGCCAAGTGTGGATCAGACTCGTTGGAGTTGTTCTAATTCAATTCATTATACTCCTTGGTGTTGAAATTATTTGTCTTGGATTTGAAAGGGCCGAATTTGGAAGGCCATGCATGCGAGCTTCTCTCATTGAAGTTTTGTCCTCGCGATGGATTTCGAACTTAATGGAAGTTTAATGAAAATGAGTTGGAGGTCGCTCTTTAAGAAAAATGAAATAATTTAAAACTTCTAAGTAAAATGAACAGTGAAAGCCAGAAAGCAAAGCGAATTTTGTATCGCAAGTTCGACTCCCGCCAAAAGGTGGAAGCAATCTCGACCAATCCTGACCGAACTAAGGGGGGAAGTGCCAGTTCGTTTAGAGTTTCAAAAATAGCTTTACCGTGTAAACAAAACCGTTCGCGCGTTGCACGAAAGTATGAGAACTTACGAAGAACAAATCAAGTCAGAGACTGCGTATGAGAAAAAAAATTGTCTTCTGCTTCTGCAGCCTCAAGCTTGGAGAGAAAATAGAATTTGGTGTTGTACACATTCTAAAACAGATATAATCATGGTAAGTGTTCTCTCTATTTTCATTATGATTCATTCATTCATTTTTTTTCATGCAACAATTTTAAAAATAAAGGAATGTATTCATCTTTTCTGACATTGGGTTAGATAGATTGAGTAACATTTTTTTATTTTAAATCTTCGCATAATTGGTGATTTGAAGGCAACTGTGTTCTAATGCTGAAGTTTGCTATTATCAGGGGAAGAAATCCGAAGCAGTCGTGGAGAAACGGCAGATACCCCAGGTCTTGCGAGGCGTACTTCAGCTAGATGCCCTACTGACAGATAAGTTCTGTGGACTTGTGGAAAAAATTGTCCCTTCAAAATGGCGAGCCCAGTACAAAGCATTGGAGGTAATTTTTGATTTCACTTTTCGGTTTTGTTTGAAGGATTTGTTCTATTATTGTCATTCGTCCACTTTCTTAAGATTTCATGTCATGGGATCCCATGGATCGCTGGATGGCTAGCATTTATCTGGTTGTGGAATAGCCCTTCCCTTTATCAAATGCAAGTGAACTTCTTCATAGGTTTGTATTTAATCTAAAAAATCAAAACCCTCGTGTTTGAACATTTAATCAATTTGTTCTTGTTGTAAATGCATCTTACGTTTATGTTTACCCAGGCCTTCTTCTGGATGTTTTGGTCGTAGCAGTTGTAAAAGCCATCACAAGGAGGAGGAGACCAAAAGGAAATAGAAGCGATATGTTCGCCTCAATGAGTGTTGACAAATTTTCATTTCCTTCGGGGCATGCTACAAGGGCCTGTTACATTGCTCATTTTTTCTCAAGTGCTTTCGTAATTTCACCATTACGGCTTCCACTGATATTGTGGTCATCTGCTGTATGTGTATCTAGAATCTTGTTACATCGACATCATATTCTGGATGTTGTTGCTGGTGCAGCAATAGGTGTTTTGGAGAGCATTTTCATTAGCTATATGTGGATAAGCGAAGAATGGTCGCTGCAGTTGTTGTCAATGATTACAGATGAGAAACTTGAAGGAGGAGAATATCATGTTTAATTGGATGGCATAGAGTAATGCTAAGTTAAAATCTAATTAATTTATTTTTGAAGTGATTTTGCTCTTGTGATAATGATTTTCAAATTCAAGCTCTTGACAGAGACAGATATTTATTTTTAACCAAAATGATGTGCTTCTAGGTAATTTATTTTTCAACAAGACTGTTTGCATTTTCCTCAGCCTCTGTTCTATTTTCCCTCTCCTCCCTGATTTTCCATTTCAAAATAATTGGGAAGTAACAATGAACTGGTCTGCACTGCATTAATGACAATAACAACTTAATACGCTCTTACAATCTTTATTTTAATAACCTGTTATTATAATTCTTATAGATTTAAGGAAATATAATAAACATATTGGTAATTTAAAGGGCTAAACTTGCAATTAATGAGTATAACATCAAAACACCATGGTATCTGTCATGCATTACAATAAATTTTCCACTGAGTTGAGGGAAAACAATTTGCAATAGCTTCTGAGGTAGTTATTTTCTGTAAGGACTAAGATTCTGAAACATAGTCTTCTTAATTCGCACACTGAAACACCAATAGAAAACAAAGAATTAATTGGGACTGCGACAAAAATGAAGTCTATATGAAGTACTATACTGTAAAGGACTTACTCCCGCATGCCAGTAGTGCCCACAGAAAAGAGATGACCATTTTGATTAGTACGCTAAAATCGAAACAAAATTTGCTTTTACCAGTCTAAAATAAGATGAATCAGGAAGCTCACAGCAGTTTAGAAACTCACCGCGGGTGGATGCGGCATTGCTTCATCAAGCTCATCCTCATCCTCAGAATCGATATTCCCCACATTTGGAATGTTAGAGATTTTGCGTACAGCATGTTTCAAGCTGGAAATAGAGAAAACTTTCATTTCCACGTCTCCTGACAAAAGGTAAAATCTACATGAGCTTCACATACCCATTGCCATTCTGATGAGGTATGCTGTCTGTTTCAGAGGTCTGATCTTCACTTAAAAGCTGAAAAGTGGTGTCATAAACAGATTAATTTGAGCAAATATGGGTAAGAAGATGAAGGTAGTCCTCCTGTATGAAGGGTACTCACACCACCCACCGATGACCAGTAATGGCCATATTGAGCCAAAGGAACAGCATGGTGGCTCATGATCCACTGCTCTGTGCTGAAATAAATATTGTAGTAATTTTAAAAAAATCTTTTTTCAATGGAATTTAGGATGAAAAAAATCCTTACCTTCCAATATTGTACTAAAACCTCCCCTCAATTCATATGATTAAGCTTTGTACAGTAATGGGTGAAATTACTTTGAGATGAATCAGTTAGTACATAAAAATTATTCATGTTAAAAGAAAGTAACCCTGATTGATAGTATTATTAATTTGGTTTGTTTCTTGACATGAGCAGGTTAGAGAATAACATTGTTGTGGAGATAGAGAAAAGCTAGAGTTAAATAAGTTAACTAAAGTGTTTATTTATTACAAGTTAAAAAATACAAATAACAAAGCTACAGCAACAATCAAATTGGAATTGAGAAACAAGGAATGTATGGTTCAGTCCAAAGGACATAAAATTGAATCAAATCCAAGACAACAGGAGATAAAGTAAGAACTAGACATGCTCTTTTCTCACCAACGGAATAAAGAAGAAAAGAAAAGATTAGAATCATGGAAAAAGAGAACAGCATCCAGTAAATGGAATGCTCAAGCATGAGATAAGGGAAGGGTACCCCTGTCTCATGTCGTCGATTTCCCAGTTCCTACATTTCAATTTCTTTTGATTTTGTCAATGGCAAAGGAGCATTAATTTAACTATACAAACAGCTACAGGATACTACAAAACCAGCCTGCTCTGATAACAGCACCATAAAATTTCAACTGTTATATAATTTAAGAGTCAACAGAAACTAACACTGGAGGATAAAGACTTCAATAAATGACCCAATTCTTTTTGCCATTGAGAGATTTCTTATTGCTACAAAACGTTGCAGGCATTCTGGTTTGGATTGAAGATAAACCAAAATAGATCACAGCCTGAGAAAATGAAGCATCTAATGCTCTGAGCACACGATTTTTCAAATGTTTTCAAACAGAATTTAAACATGCATTATTATCTAGAAAGGTTCCAGTACATTGAAACATTGACAGATGTGACTTTAACATCTTTGGTATAAGTATTTTTGTAAATAAATTAAAGTAAGTACTTTGGCCTCTATAATAAAGATTAGGTCATCCACAGATTAACAAATGAGAAATAAATAGGAACATGTTAATGTAGTTAAAAGGAATATGCCATTAATAAATATGATGGCATTTAGTAAACAGAATGTTTCGTTGAGTTAAATATCTTGAGAACATCTATCAACATAAGCACATTGTAATGGTCTAAAAACTTCAGAGACAAATACTGACATTCAACTATCAAATTTAATGTAAAAGGAGATCAGAAAAGTAGAAAATAAGTAAGCAAAGTATCTTTGGAACTGCTTGGCAATGTTATGATTGTCAACCTTCCAAGAAAAGCTGCCATGAACTTTAAAAAAAATCTTCTCAGTAGCACAGCTAGTGCAAGACTAGTAATATAGTCGTCAATCAACACACACTTATTAAGGTGCAAAGAGAAAAAATAAAAATAAAACAAACTTAGCACCTTCATAGCAGTTTGCAGATCAGCAAGACTTAGGTCTAAGGCACATACAAAACCATGTCAAAATATACCTCACTATTTTTGAGGATTGATACTGGTCAAATTCATGATGAATGATTACATAGAACCTTCACCGTACAATACAATGAGAGTTGCAACCTCCTGATAGCATTGGAATTGAACTGTATACCCTCTTGCCACAGGCAATAAACAATAATCACATAACTGTTCATACCATTAAACAATAAAAATCAAGAGAAGTCATTGCACAAATGTGCGAGTCACAACATGTATCTTGAAAAATCTTTGTGAAGAATCACAGAAAAGCACTTAAAAAGGGGTATATAACAAGTTTTAAGCTAGGGTATTGAGAGCTGAAGAGGGTGAACAAATGATCTCTAATGCACCATCTTAAATTTATGCAATAAATTTAAAAAAATGGTTAAATAAATTATTCCAATATGAATGAAATCTGCAACTGAGTGCAACTTGTGCAATGTGAGAAGTGTTACAGCAAATTTTTAAATTCTCATTGATACAATTTCTACCAAAGATGCGTGTGATGGAATTTCAGATCCAGTTTACCAGGGACTTCTTCAGGAGTCACTCCATTCGGACCATCACCAGCACCATCGGGTAAGTCACCTTGATTTATAGGTGACACATCAGCAACTGGAGAAATTGAAGATGGACCATTTAGCTTCTGAGGGAGAGAAGATGGACGTATCTGACTTTGCGGCTCCTGTCCATTTGTTTCTTCGCTGGCTGGTGAATCGCTTGAACTTGTTTTGGCAGGAGTAGATTGGTGATTAGTAGCATGAGAACCTTGTCTGTAAGTATTCAAAGGTGTTATTCCCAGTAGAGCAAATTATAATTCCACCTGAACCATGTTATAATGAAGCAATTATGAAAAGAAGCAATAAGTTAACATGACAAGTTGTCCATAGACAACATAAATTTAGCCGGTCAGTGGATGCATTATATCATCCAACACCTTAGTTCACGATCCAGAAATGCGATCACTCATGCTTCAGTAAAGATAGTTAGTCAATGGCATTATAAAAATGTAACAAACCTTGAGCCATTCTGGGCACCCTTGTATTGGTCTTGCATATACTGAAAGGGAAAAAAGTGCAAAGTTACTTAGACACCATATATATTTTTAAAAAAATATATATAAGACATATTTTCAATGCAAGGTTACAATCTGACTTACCTCAGCCATAACACTTCCAGCCTTCTTTGCAGAGTGTCTTCCATATGTGGGCATGGGCGTCATCTCCCCTGAGCGGGACATTGCTTTCACACTTTGGACTGGGTTCCTACTTGTTTTGGAGTTTGAAGAGAAACCTGATGATCCTCTTGCTTTGTCTGGTCAAAAAAACATAAATAACTTAAATTGAAAAAAAAAAAAAAAAAACATAGAGAAAGAAAGACAAGACTTTGTGAATTATTTACCAGATCGTCCATCAAAAAAGCTGTCATAGACAACAAAGCTGTTGGTCTGAGGAATTATGCTGTCTAAGCCATAATGCTTGCACATGAAGGAAAGAAATATTTCCGATGGTTGATCCAAGGCCAAATGATGTGGGTTTGCTTGTTGGTCCTAGACATTCATGGACAATTCAGTTTAATGTTGACAAAACACACACAAGCTCATTAAGAATTTGAAGGTACCTTCAGCATGTATTCGAACAGAGCCCTGCCATTGCCTGATCTCTGTTTCGATTCATGCACATAGAAGTCCAAAACACAAAGTGGATCCATCTCCCACTGAGAACCACTTAGATCGTAGACAAACAATTTTTTGCGACCAACTTTCAGTATGCCGACAACTGTTCCATGTCCCCTAAAAAAACAAATTTAATGTAAAACATAAAAACCAGCAATAATTATGAAGAAAAGGGAAGGGAAGGAACATACTTGTTACCCTCAGGGTCTGTCAAAATATACACAACATGATCAGTATTCCTCAATTTGGCTGCACTGGTAATGGCGACTGGGAGACCCTGGGCTTTTGCAGACACAACACCCATTTTGTCCAGCACCGTTGATATCTTGGCAACCACATCACTGCAAATACAAAAATATAATCACGACCTACATAGAAAAACAAAAGCAATAACTGCTACAGGCTACACGTTTATATTTCCATCAAATGTTCCACTTCCTGTTGGCAAAGAAAAATTTAAACTTTATTCATTTGTGTTAAATCAGGTAAAAGCCAAAGTTTCCTTCAGCCCGGGGAACGCAATGAATGCTAAATTGTTCCAGCCTGCACCAGGTGCGCACTGGCGCCTGGCGTGCACTTGGCGCGCACGTTCGCATGCCCAACCAGCCGTCCCGTCAACGGGGGCATGGCACCATGACATCTGCCCTGATTTTGGGGAAAGGGTTCAACAATAGGGCACGAGTTGAGTTCAATTTAAGGCAAATGGCCCACTTACGGGTGAGTGTTTGCCATGTCCGCAGCATTCCACCAAGCCGGCTCAGATAAGGCCAATAAAACCCACTTTTAAGATATTCCTCCCAACGTGTGGGAGGATTTCGCAACAACCTCATTTCGAAGGTGTGCTGCAACCGAAGACGACGAAACTAATATTACTTACCCGTCCCCTCTTCGGTCGGGCAAATGATTTTCCGGAAGCAAATTGTTCTTGACTTTCACCAATTTCTCCTTAAATAACGCGTTAACACTGAAATTAAACTCCATGTTGACAGATGCTCACAGATGTGCCGACAATCCTACGCTTCTTCTGTTCTGTCAGTTTCGTTTTGTTGTCCTTGTTTTGATGTTGTTGTTTGCTATCGATCTATCTCGTCGACTGTTCGACTCAATTCGATTCGATTGAGATCGAAGTGTTTGGTTCGATACTTAGTCTGCTTTCCTGCTCCTGCTCCGAGTTTCACTTGCATTTTCTTTCTGCAGCTGTTTATATTTTCACGAAAGAAGATTGTGCAATCTTAATTTATCAGGGAAACACATCTAAGCTGGTGCTGTGGTTTGTCATTGGTTCTTCAACATGTCAGAGCCTAGAAAACCGAAACTGATTGTTTTTGATCTTGGTTAGACCTGTGATCTTAGTTTCAAAACATAATTATTTCAGGAGAGTATTTTTTAATAAAATCTTGATACACCATTTCTTTTTCTTTCAGATTATACATTGTGGCCTTTTTGGATAGATACTCATATTACGCCTCCATGTCATCAAAAGAAGTGAGTTTGCATGCAGCCTAGCTTGACAGAGGCACAGTTCTGTTCTTAATAATCTGACACTTTATAAAATTTATTTTCCAGTGGCAAAATATATGACATGCGAAACCAATTAGTGAAGCCCTTTCCAGAGGTCCCAGAAATACTTTCTGATTTGCATAAGCAAGGGTTTGAACTAGCTATTGCATCCAGGACAAGTGAAATTCAAGGAGCTAATCAACTGGTCAAACTGTTGAATTGGGATAAGTACTTCAAGTACAAAGAAATTTACCCTGGATGTAAGGTGAAACACTTTTCAAAGTTCTGTGAAGCTTCAGGGTACAAACATGAAGACATGTTGTTCTTTGACGATGAGCAGCGCAACATCCGAGACCTCTCTGAGAAAGGAGTTACTTGTATACTCGTTCCAGGTGAGGGTGTAACAAAAAAATTGTTAGAGAAAGGTCTTCAGAAATTTTCCTCTAAAGGTTAGACTTACAGAGATTTAAACCCTACATTCCACTTTTCATTGTAAGAGAAAGTAAAGTTTGAAGCTGTGATAAATAAATAAAAAGTCATAATTTTGAACAAATTACTATTGTCAAGTCTTCTTTACAGTGAAATAAAATTGTGAAGGCGATAATGCAGGTGTTGAGTTTTGGTTTGATGCAATTATTTCCTTATTACCTTCAGTAGAACTAACTTTTTCAGCGTAAAAACTTTTCAGTGCGTCTAAATATATGTGACATTTTTCTTTTGCACTCTTATCATTTCCAACGGTTGAGAGAACATCAAATTTGATCTGATTGTGAAGACAGTTCAAGAGCTTTTTATCATCAAAGCTAAGGAAAGGGCATCCTCCATCAGATAGTGGACTAGATGACATATTCTGCCGAAACAAACATTAAGATTATATTGATGGACAAAGTACTTGAGAGTGTTAGAAATCTTATTGTTATACTGACTTGCACTTGTTGGCAACAAGGTGTATGATACTCCCGCCTGGAGCCCTCCAATCCATACATATGACGTAAACTGTAAACATATTTCCTGCCATCTTTTTGCCATGAGTGACTGCATGAAGTACAACTGCCGGTTGATTGAGCATATTCCTTGCTCCAAAATTCAATAGATTCCATTAGCGGCATCCCAATGTCCTTAACAAAATTAAACCAAATTCGCTTTAAAAATTAAAAACAGCAGATAATAGTAACAATAACAAACTCAAAATTACCATGAAATTATACCTTTAAAAATAAACTGTAATAAAAGCGGGAATAATGGGAAAGACGATGACGCTGTCTGAGAGTGATATGCATGTTTCGCATGCATGGAGGGAACAGCAAGCTTGTTTGGTCAACCTCATTGGCTCTCAAGGTGGAATACTTGGACATTGCATTGCTTGGAGCATTTTGGTTAAATTTTAGTTTTAGGACCCGAAACAGGTATCTTACTCGATCGTCATCCCACATGGACGTATAAGAGTTAGACGCCAGCAGCTGCTGCATTCCATGTTTTAAATGTTCACCAAACAAACATCCGAGCAACTGGGACCACTTTCCACATGGTACTATCACTTTGCCTGCAGTCAAATCAACATCCCTTCGAACAATTAATGGGAGGCATAGTGTGAAAGGAACTGAAATGAAAACAGAAATCAGTTCGATTCAAGTTAAAATGGAAGAAACAATAAAAGTACCTACTTTACCTAGAACACAGTGGTCTTGACAGCTTAAGTCATGCTCATCAGTGAAAGTGTGACTTATAGCTTTGCTTTCGATCATGTCTTCACACAATTGCACAAAATGTTTCAGAAAAACTTGGTACTTAGGAAGTGGTTGACAATGAAATAAAATCTCCTTAACGTGGCGTCGAGCTATCCTGAGCTCTTTATCAATCTGATTGTGCTTAAGAAAACGCAACCTCTTGGTGAAGAGAATAGGCTCCGATTCTAACAGAAATTCCTCTAAACTTTTCAATTTTAATGCAACTAGTCTGAAAATAAAATGAGTTGTTATCAAGCAAGTAAAATACAGTTACTTTATTTTTGATGAATTCAACCATGCCCTGTAATTGTTTTTACCTCAGCATGAAATGTCCTGTCCTGTCAAGAGCAGACCCATCAATGAGGTACTCAAATTTGAAATGATCATGGCATTCTGAAATGTCAGTCGATTCCCTGACAAAATCTAAGTAACTGATCCTCTCTTCTACACATTCTTGAAGTTTATGTAGTGGAATATTCCCTCTTGGAGGCTTGAAATAAAAAGTCATCCTGTTTAAGTTTCTCTCAGACTCAACAAGACATATTTTTCATATGTCAGAATTTTTCATACTGTAGTACTGTCATTCTGTTTGTTTGTAAATATTCGAAACACGTGTGTGTTATAAAGCTGAGAAAATGGGTAAAACGGGAAATAAACGACAGGCAAACGACGAAGAGTATGACGCTACTCCACCAGCAAAGCAAAAGCTCGCTCCTCATTTAAAAAATCAAGAGAAACGTTTAATTGTTATTCTGGAATCGGCTCAATTGGAGAGTGTCAAGGTGAGGTTATCTCTTGTAGTTCTGTGATAACCAGTACATTTATCTTTTGATTTCACATGTTTGCCTACTTAATGAATTTCTCTAAGAATATTGAACCCCAATTCAACGGAATGTATCGTCTGTGATCAATGAATCTGTGATCCTGCCATAGCTCTTGTTACTCTATGTTCTACTCTTCCTTGTCCAGATCGGCAATTCGTTTGAGCTCTTGAATTCAGATGATCATCTCAACATGTTACGCAAAAACAATCGGGAGCCTGTTCGCCCAGACATTGCACACCAGTGCCTCTTAATGTTGCTGGACAGCCCTCTGAACCGGGCTGGACTCCTCCAGGTATGCAGTGCAAGCTTCGAATCCTCTGCTTGTATTTTTAAGTCATCTGGTCACTAAGCCCTGTGTTTTACTTAAAGGTGTATATCCACACTGAGAAAAGGGTTCTTATAGAAGTAAACCCTCAGACCAGAATACCAAGGACCTTCAAACGATTTGCAAGTTTAATGGGTATGTGTAGCCTGTTCAATTTACACGATTTTTCATTTCAATAGCATGTTTTAAGGTGTGTTTATTTTTGTTTACTTTTACAGTTCAGCTCCTTCATAAATTCAGTGTCAGGGCAACAGATTCATCTATGAAACTTCTGAAGGTCATCAAGAATCCAGTCACTGATCACTTACCTGTAGGCTGCCGTAAAATTGCGTTTTCATATACTGCCACTAAAGTTGTAAATCCCCGAGAATTAGTACCACCAGAAGAGCCCATTGCTATAGTAATAGGGGCTATGGCTCATGGCAAGGTTTGCATCTCTAACTTATTCACTTTCTGAGGCTGAAATGTCATCGAATTTATATATTTTTCCATTTTACTTTCAGATAAAAGCAGACTATGCTGAAGAGTGGACATCCATTAGCAGCTACCCATTGTCTGGTGCATTGGCCTGTGCTAAAGTGTGTTCAGGATTTGAAGAAGTCTGGGGTGTGGTTTAGCCTAATGTGATATCATCCTTCTGCAAGATAGATTATAAGTTCCAATATTGACTAATAAACTTCATCAAAAGTTAATGTTGATGCCCTGCCCTCTCTCTAATATTGAGTAACAACAAACTGTGAGGGTGTGGTGTCGTTTCTTAACTCCACCCAGAATCAATAAAATATACTATTTCATTGCTTGGTAAGTTACATTTAATTCAACATAGCAACAGGCAAAATTAGACCATACCAAAAGAGTAGGAACAACAGGAAAACTTGAAATGCCCAGGAAACAAAAGAGTGAAAATCCACTTAATCTAGGCAGTTTAACAACAGGTGTGGCAAATTGTCATGGCTCAATAATTATCACAATTACCTTAATATTGAAGTGGGAGCAGATTAATGAGTGTGCCAGTACATGCAGACAGTAAGGGTAAAGCACCAAAAATTAAACTTGCATCACCAGCCTAGATAATACTCGAGGTATAACAACAAAAACTAAAATATATGATATCATATATAATACCAATCAGTTTCATCATTCACAAAGTAGATGATAACATACAACTAAACGGTTGACGAATAACGCCAATAGACAGCACAAAATTTGTACTGTTACAGGAACACATAATCACCAGAAAAAGTGTGGTACAGAACATCATTCTGTAAATAAATTCATTAAACAATTTCATCCAGCAACTCACATAAATTTCATTAGACAACTTAACTAAGCAACTGAAATAACTTTCGTTACACAATTTCATAAAAACAACTCACATAAAGTTAGGGAGATAATTTCACTAGGTACCCTTCTTGAACCTCCTTTAAAATTCATTAGTGACATGGGACAGGTTCACAATAAAGATTGAACTTGACCCTCTTATGAGACCACTATCTTAAAATTCATTAGGCATTCTTGAAATGCAGTTCATTTAAAATTCATTAGATATTCTTAAACTGTAACTCAGTTAAAATAAATTTCATTATACATTCTTGAAACGCAACTCACTTAAAATCTATTTGACAAATAAAAAATTCATTAGACATTTTTTTAACTGCAACTCACTTAAAATTCATTTGAAAATCAAAACAAGTAATTCATTTTAAGCTTAATAGAAACAGAATTCACTCTAAAGCTTTATCTTATCGTAAAAATGACACATGTGACTTCTTGCTTCGAGACACAACCGCTGAAGCAGCAGCTGCAGCATTGGACGGTAAAGCCAAGAGTGACGTGGCCGCTTGTTTTTTAGGGATTGGTGGCATGTCTTTACCAATCAGATTTTCTTTCCCTTTCACTGAAGTGAAGGACCTCCTCCTGCTGAAGTCACCATCAGCCAATGTTTTATTGCCTTTGTGATACAACAGCATGGCATGGTTCTTGGCATTTTCAACATTTTCTCTACCATTTTCAAGAGATGATTTTGACTCTGATGATTGAGGCGTGCTTGACCTGCAGCTTGATTTTCTTCTGCGCCGAGCACTTCCTCCAAATGCATTTTTCCTCAAGACCACTTCACTTGGGAAGGGAAATTTTTCAGGCAAAGTATTAATTTTGTGGGGGCTTGATGGATGTTTGGCATCCAGAAGTGAGTCAACAGAAGCCCCTATTGATCTCGAATTATAAGCTGTGCTTGTGAATGTGTTTTGTCTCATGAGCTGTGCTTGTGCCGGTGACACATCAGTCTTGTTGTACAGGTCTTTAGTTTGGTGGCCTTTCAACACCGGCCGTTTGGACTCCAAATTTAAAGCATCTATTCTGCTTGTAGCTCTATGCAGTTCTTCACGATCATCAAACAAAACAGTAAGTTTCACAGAGGGACTGCTTGGCTGAGGCTTATCAGGCAAAGGTGACAAATCTGGACCAAGAGGGAAGTCAGAAGTTTCCGATATTGGAACATCAACAGTGATAGCTGGTCCAGTGTAACCAGGCAGATGCAAAATTTTCTGCTGCATTCTGGGCTTTGTTTCTGTATCAATTTGAGCCCGGTTACTTCGAATTGCCTCAGCTATTTTCGCAAAACTTGGCTTTGCGGGAATTTGAGGAGGGACACGGGGCTGCTTGGGATCATCAAAGTAAACATGGCGGCCCTGAAAGACTGCACTGTTTTCTGGCTTGGACACGAAGTTTGGAGGTCTTGGCACTTGTTTGGGGTCCATAAGGGCTGATGTAGGCATCACACTAGTGTCGCCAGCATCAGCACTGAAAGATTCATCGATTTCATTCCAAGCCTGAGGTTGAGGCCGAGGTACACTGGTAGGACCACAACGGTTTTCTTTACTGCGCTTTAGATACACCTGAGACAGGACACAAAGAAGACAACATATTGAAGTTTAAATTAAAGAAAATAAAACAATACAGATTAAGAAATTTTCTAACACCCACCTCTGCAAGAACCATTTTATCTCGGACTGCCCTCTCCATAAGAGCCAGTCTGTGTTCTCGGCGGTTCAAAGAGTGCTCTCTCTCATCCAATTCAAGCTCACGATGTCGGAGACTTGCCTCTTTGTCTCGTAAACTCTGGAGGCGAGCTAGCCACTCAGATTGAAACGCATCCTTGCTAACCTAGAGGTTTTAAAAATAATTTTTAATACATAAATATATGCATATTTTCCAAAAAAAAAAAAATTTTGATTTTATAATTGATTACTTACCCTCTCTGGGTCTCTATCCACAGGACTGGGAGGAGGTGCTCTGGAACTAACAACCACTGGTGGCGGAGGGGGAGGCCTCCTTGCAATCTTGCAAGAAATCCCACCATCAGACTCCACAGGAAGATTTGAAAGAATGACAGGATGACAGATCAAATCAAAAATAGATGGGCGTTGGTCTTGGTTAACTTGCAGCAAACTACTCAAAACTTTCTGCAAACTATCTGAGTAGTTGTGTGGAATCCGCTCATATCTAGAAACATATTGATAAGGTTTTATGAAAACAGAGGCATTTCAAAACTTGATAAGTACAGGTTGTGAGCATTGTCGTGCATTACCTCCCCTTGCTGACTTTGGAAGCTAGCTCTGTGATGTTATGAGCATGAAATGGGGGTTTTCTGGCACACAGCTCATAGACCAGACATCCTAGAGACCACACATCAGATTTACTATCATACATTTCACCCTTTAGCACCTCCTAAACAAAAGGAAAAAAATGAAAATCAATAAAATTTTAAATAAGTTCAACAAAAACATGTAAGTAGTAAAAATAAGTGCTGCAATTCTTACTGGGCTCATGTAAAACGGAGTTCCAACCATGGTTTCAATGCATCCTGGTTGATCAGCGTCGAGTTTACAAGCCAATCCAAAATCCCCTAATTTCACATTTCCACTGTCATCAAGGAAAACATTTGCTGGTTTAATATCCCGGTGCAAAATCACTGTACTACTAACCCATGAGTGGCATGTTTGAAGTGCACTTATCAGCTGATACAGAACCTTCCAGACAAATCGTTCTTCCACATACGTATTGTTTCTGAAATTAAAAAGAAGGAAATTGTACATAAATATTGTATTTGGTGCAGGTGAAGTGGTAAAGCAAGTGGTTCATACCTAACACAAGTTTTGATGACTGTAGCCAAATCGCCTCCAGGACAATACTCAATTAATATATAAAGTTGCTTGGTTTCTTTGCATACAATACGATCAAAGTACCGAACAATGTGGGGGTGACGTAGATCTCGCAAAAGACTGACTTCCGTGACCAAAAGCTGTAAAAATATTAAAATTTCAGTTGAGTTACTTGAGTTTTGTCTCATTAGGAATCTTGTCCGAAATAAGAATACCAAAACACAGACCTGTTTCTTCTCCTCAGAGAGACACCCATACTCAATAACCTTCCAGACAATAATCTCATGAGTGTGTCTGTTGCGGACCTTGTAGCAAGAGCCAAAGGAACCGCTGCCAATCAGTTCCAGCACATCAAAATCATTCAGTCTATACGTCATGTCTTCTGTTTACACTTTCATACCATAACCTGGACAAAGTGAATTCACATTAGATGTTTTGGAGTTAAAAAGCACCAATATATTATTGAGTTGCACTTTGAATGAAACCTATACATGGTGGCCTAAAGGCCCTGCTTGAGAACGCTTCAAATGACACCGAATTGTTTATTTTGATTTAAACTAACCGTTGCGTTGCGGTTTAAACCTCAACCGATTGCTTCACCGTAGTTCGAAAAACACTGATTTAGGTTGAACTGTGCGAAGGAAAATCACAACTGTTTCTGTGTTCTGCTTGTTTACACATTCCAGATTTGTTTGGCTTGGGCGCCGTTGGTCGTTTTTCATTCAAATTTAAATCTCATACTTTTCATACTTGTTTTGCTTTTGTTCTCGGCAGTACCACACCAACAAATGATATTTGACGACGTCTCTTCCCTCGTATTTATGTGAAATAATGACCAGGCCGAGGGAGGAAATAGGGTCTTTCTGACATTACAATAAGTATAATTGAGGTTTTCTCTTCGAGAACCGACAATAAAAGGCATTTATAGTTCTCCTGTTCTGATGAAGTTCGCAGAAGGTGTCCCTATGTTGGCTGCGTAGCAACCGCGCTATATTTAAGCCTTGGAAACTAACATCGGCTGCTATTTATCCTTCTTTGTAAATCTCGTTCGGTCAAGAACACTGAAAGAAGTGTGCACGTCTTGTTGACTTCCCTCTTCGTTCTAGGAATGATGTTAAAATGTAACGTCCGGTTTGGCTCATTCACTTCAGCGCTCGAATACTTTGTTATCGGTGGCTGAAATAAATGTATGGAGAGGTTAGAGAAGTTCCATATGTGCACCCATGGTACACCAGTTTTTAAACCTCAAGCTGTAAAAGATGATAGAGAAGTCACACTTCCAAAAAATCTCGCGACCGTAAGATTTTATAGATCCTAGAAATCTTAGAATGAAATATCACCTTCATTGTTTTCAAAATAATCTGTTGAAAGATTGACAGCTTGCACAGCTTTGAAAATGACTCTGTATTATTGTGGTTGGAATGGTTGTGGTCAAGTGAAAGGCCACCCCATTGTTATAAGTACACCTACTGTTGTAGCTGTCGATGGGTCCATAGAGAGTGTCTCATGTAGTTGGTCAGTTCTTTCCGTTGCTACAAGTGAGTAATTGTGTGTGTTTGTACAAATTCAATTTTTGCACCATCCATTTTGTTTAATGTGATCCTTTTATTGATACAGGAAAGTCATTAAGTATGACAGGGTTCGTAGGTAATCAACATGGCGTTTCCAAACAAATTACTCTTGGCGATGGCTCCAATGCAGTTCATGTGAGGCTAAGTAGAGAGGCGCCATTCTTCAAGTTTCAAATTTTGCATTTAAAATTTAAATTTTTTTTTTTGCTTTTACTTATTTTATTTCTAGGTATCCAGCTGTCTCAATCATTCATTGATAGTTAATGACAAAGGCAAATGCTTCGATTATAATTTGGAAACAGACACATTACGGCCACTTCCCAAATTTACGTCTGCAGAATACACTGATGAGGTAGTATTTATTATTTTCTTACAAGAATGTCCTCATGGTTGGAAAAGGTTTATCTTTTTCTGTTTTTTTTTTTTCTTCTCTTTTTTGTCTTGTCAGGAGGCTGATACTCTTGATGACACCATTGTCAGAGTAAGCTGCAGTGACTATAGCAACCTGGCACTTACAAAGTCAGGTAATGCACATCCGAAGCCCCCATTTCAGCCAAACTTCGCTTAGTAAATTTGGTATCAATCTCAATTTTTCCCTTTATTTTTTTTTTATTAATCTAATGAATGTTTACAGGAAAAGTGTTTACCATTCCATCACCGATTAGCTTGCCCAAACTAGTGGTGACCAATGTGTCTTGTGGCAATGAGCACTGTTTATTGGTTACTCAATGTGGATCGGTTTTCACTTGGGGAAATGGAAGGTAAGGTGTTTTTACTGTTGTGTTTTGTTCCTTCAAAATCTCTTTGCCTAATTTTATTCATTCAGTGACTCTTTTATATTGAAGCCGGGGACAACTTGGACACGGTGATTTGGAACCAGAGGAATCTCCTCGTATTGTTGATGCATTGGCAGGAGTTGCAGTTAGCCAAATTAGCGCAGGAGCATGGCATAGCGCCGTGGTGACCTCAAGCGGAGACCTGTACACATGGGGCTGGGGTAGTGATGGGCAGCTGGGTATCAAGGAAGAAGATGGTGAAGGGAATGAACATCCTGCAAGTAATATCAGATTTTTCTTTGCTTTGTTTGCTCTTACTTTAATTTCTTATGCTAAATAACAAACTTTTGCAGAAAGAAGAAAACAAAAAATAGATTCACAGCTATTAGTGGTAAAGTAATGGTACAATAAGAGAATCCCCTTATCCCCTCTTCGTTAGGTTCATATTTAAATGTATTTTCCCAACAGGTGGAAGAACGGGAAGAGAAGTTCAGGGGTACTGTTCAGGCATTCCCTTTGCCTGTGGAAACTCCAGCAGATGTAGAACAAGTCAGTTGTGGCAGTCGACACACATTAGTCCTCCTCGGTAAAATTTATTTGCCATGCATAAGTCCTTCAAGTTACAATTTTCCACTTTACTTTACTCCCTTTTTACAGTTGACGGGACCATATTTGGCTGTGGATGGAATGCCTACGGCCAGCTCGCTTGCTCCCCCGACGTGTGCACCAGAAGCCCTGAACTAAGAAAAATACTGCTGCCAGATTCGAACACAAGAATATCTAGAATACAGTGTGGAGGCTGGAGCTCTTGTTTTTTTTTGTAGCTGTTGTGGAAAATAAAATAAAACCTAAACACTGCCTTTTGAATGAGTTGTGTTTTTGTCCCCTGTGAATTCGAAACTGCCTTGAAGAGAAAGAAGTCTTGGCGGAGGCGGAGAGGGTGAATTAGCCGAGCCGTGCCAGACTCCCGACTGAAGCTGAAGGGATGGGGTTGGTTGGTAACGCCCGAGCACGCGCGCGTGTGTGTGTGCGTGTGTGGCGTGAAGGTGACGAGGCCTGGCGCACAATGGCCACAGCCTCGGCCACAGTCCTTTGAGCACCTTTGAGTCGTGAGACCAACTTACACGCCGGAAGGCTGCTGGGCCTGGGCTGCTCTCACTGGGGAAGATCCGCAGGTTGTCGCATTGTGTGATTGTGTGGCGTGCTCAGAGGACACCGTGAGGGTCACGCTGGGCGCTGAGCGTGCTGCCCGGAGCCTCGGCAGCCTGTTTGACGTGCGGCGCCTAGCGGCGCCACGCCTCGAAAGCACAAATAGGGGAAAGGGGGGTGAGGCGAGATCGCGAGTCGCGCGCATGGAGTTTCGCAGAAGCGGAGAGCGCTACCGCCCGGCAGGCAGGCCACCCAACCAACTGCGCGCACCACGTGGCCGCCTAGTGAGTAGGCAACCCAACTGGCTCCACCCCTCGCCGGCCGCGCTTTGGACCTAGGAACCGGCCGCGCCCCCGCCCCCCGTTTATATGTGTGTGTGTGTGTGTGTGTGTGTGTTTGAGAGAGAGAGAGGAGCAGCGAGTGGAGAGTGTTGGAAGATGATGGGCCGAGAAATGACACGGGCCTTTTCATCCCTCGAGTTGTCATCGCGCAGGTCCTCACAATCGCCTTCTCCTTCGCCCCCTCCCCCTCCGTCGCTCCGTCTCCTTCCTGACGGGCCCGCAGCGTCCGCAGCCAACCAGCCCCGGCGGGCCTTTATGGCATTATTCGTGCTCATAATCACTTGGTGGGCCGCGGTTTGGCCGCGTTGAAAGGAGGCTGCGATGCATGGCTACGTCCTTGTTGTGCCAACTCGCGGCCCTCCGCGGGGCCCCGCCAAGAAGGCCCCCCTCCCCAAAGCTTCATTCCATTCCACATCAACCCCTCACTACAGCAGTGATGGTTATATTGGCTTCGAGTTGTCAGGGGGAGCGCGCTGCGGCGGTGTGAGAACATTTTGGGGGTCGGCCAAGCGGATTCGAAGTCGCCCCTCTCCGTACCAGATTGGGCTTTGTTCGCACTGCCTGCACAAAAGCTGTTCTGAAAGCTGCTCGGAAAATTAAAAATAATGCAATCCAAATTTCGGGGGTGGGCGTATAATGTCGTTAGTTATAGCTCTCAGTGGCCTCCGAAAAAATGGAGTACAGTACGTAGTACGTAGCCACATTTTTTTTTGGCAACTTGGACACAACACAGCCGCCACGCGGGGCGAGGGGCGGGTCCCGATGCTCGCTCCGGCGCATGGACATTCAGAGCACAGAGACCATGCAGACCGGAGTGCCTCGAAACAACGGGCAACGGCCGCATGGACGTTCATGTCGAGTTATCAGAGCTGCCATTTGGACCCGACTTTTATTTCCCGTTTTGCTCGTCGGACGGATAGGCGGGGGGGGGGTCGACAATCGCCAAGGCCCGTCCGCGGCCCGTCCGTCGTGCGTCGAGGGTGGCGCTCGTTCGCTCGTTCGGCCGAAACCATTCGTCATTTTTGCGCGCGTTTAATTTCACGGTGGGCCCGGGGGAAGTGTGTGAGTGAGTGTGAGTGTGTGTGTGTGGGGGGGGGGGGCTTCGACGAGGTGGGCCATCCGGCAGGGCAGGGCGTGGTGACGGCTCCATGCGCCTCGCCAGCCTCGCCGCGCCGTGAAGCGTCGCGTCGCATCCCGCACATTCCCAAAACCGGTCCGGTCCGACAGTCCGACCCAGTGCGACGCGCCCCTCCCCCTCCCCCTCCCCCTCCCCCGTCCGCCGTTCGGCCCGGAGTGGCCTCGCCAACGAAAACGAAAACCAAGTGTACATGTTGCAGCGAAAACTGCATCGGCCCGACAAAAGGAAACAAAAAAAAACGTAAAATATATATGGTTCACTGGGTCAGGCCGAAAAAGCAGGAGGCATTATTTTGGGGTCCGGGTGGAGGGGGGAGAGAGAGGGGCCCGCTCGGACCGGGGAGCGGGGTACAAAACGAACATGACGCTTCGCTCGCCGAAACGAAATAAGGCGAGTAATAAAAATGCCGAGTGCAGTCTGCAAAAGTGCAAGTGCGGGCAAAAGCGGCCCGGCAGGCTGCACCGTCTGCCTGCATCGCCTGCATGCTGAGACAAAGGAGCGGGGTGCGTGGCGAAACCGCCAAAAAATAAGAAAGGCGATAAAAAACGAGGAAAGGGAAAAGAGCAGTTGCAGCGGCGGACCGAGTCACCTCACATCACTTTCGTTTTCAAGGACCTTCCTTCCTTGCGGTGTGCGAAACGCTGGCCCGGGCCGGACCGGGACCGGGCTGCATCCCGGCCCAGCCAGGCGCAGCCAGGCGTGTGATGCGCGAGGATGCAGTCCGCGTCTCTCTTCTCTCTCACGCCTCCCCAAAAGACGAGGGCATGGACGAGGCCGCGCGACGCAAAATGACGCAAACGACAAAACGCAAGCCGATCGCCGCCGCCAGCGAATTCCCTCCAAGCCCGTCGGCGTCGGTCCCAGCCATGTCCCAGCCATGTCCCAGCCGGGCCGGGGGGGGGGGGGGGGGGGGGGGGGCAGATAAGCCCAGGGTCCTCTGGCTGCCGCTGGCTGCCGCTGGCTGGGCCCGGGCGGTGGCCCCGCGATAGGAAGTAACGCGACACGCGGAGGGCTCGCGGGCTCGTCATCCAGTGAGTCATTCTGCTCAGCTATGTGCAACGCGAGCCCGGCCGGGCGCGGTGCGTATGGTGCATCAGCACGGCGGGGCGTAAGACGACGTTTCGGGTTCGGCCTCTTATCGCCCGGCGCGCTAACCCTTTCCCCCCACCCCTCTTTTTCGCGCGACGCTGCCGACGCTGCCGACGCTGCCGACGCCCCGTCCGGCCGTCTCCCTCCCCCCCTCCCCTCCCCGCCCCTGGCCGCTGCATCGCGCTGCACCGGGCCCGCCTCGCCGCCTTGGCCCTGCCCGCCCTGCCCGCCTGCATGCATCCATTACGTCACGTGTTTTCGCGTACCCCTTCCCGCCCCTCTCCCCCGCTCGCCCTCTCTCCTTTTTTCGGAGGGCCAGATGGCCTCGAGCCCGGCCAGCCCAGCCCAGCCCGGCCCGCCTGATGCTACGCCGTGTTGTACTGCACGGCGGGGCGGGGCGGGGCGCGGCGCGGCGGGGCGAGGGTCCCATCGCATTATGGCGGGGCCCCGGAACTCCAGCAGACTCCAGGAGCAGCAGGCCTGCAGGCTCTCCGGCTCGCTCCAGGACTCCAGGACTCCAGGACTCCAGGACTCCAGGCGGGAGGGCGTCGCGGCGGCGCGCGAAGGACGCCCAGCCCGCCCAGTAATGGCCCAGACTTCTCCACACTCCCGGGCGCGCCCTGTCGCCAAATTGCGTTCCAAATCGCATCCTCGCGGCTTCGGCGGGGGCGTGAAGTCAAAGCGTAGTTGAACCTGGTCCAGGCGGTCCAAGTGCGTGCTTGTTGCACGCCGGCCGGGCCCGGCGGCCGTGCCTGCCGCGCGGCGCGCTGTTCGACGCGCTGCCGCTGTCATGTCCTGTCGGGCGACACGTCAAGAGGCTTGACTCCATCTTCACGTTTGACTGCATCGCCTGCCCGCTCATGGACAGAGGGCGGCCGCTATGACCGCCCCGCCCGCCCGCTCCGAGGCGTCAGCGGCACCGTGTCCCGGCGCGTCCCACGGGGGCGCGTCCGTAAACCGAGCGCGGGGGTGGGGCGGAGTGAGAGAGAGCGCGGGGTGAGGTGAGAGAGGGAGAGAGAGAGAGAGAGAGAGAGAGAGAGAGAGAGAGAGAGAGAGAGAGAGAGAGAGAGAGAGAGAGAGAGAGAGAGCGCACGGCCCCTCGGACGCCGCCCCGGCCGTTAGCCCCTTGGTGCGGGAAATGGCGGGGGCCGTCCTTAAGGCCCCGCCACTGCGTCATGCTCTGGCCTCCGCCAAAAACGCAACAAAGCCGACGACTCTACTTACGGGATGAACCCTTCTGTCTCCCCCACCCCTTTCTCCGCGTCGCTCTATCCACTAGAACCCTTCCCTTCTTTGCGCCTTCTTCCCCTTGGCTCCGTCAACTCCCTCACCCACGCCACCCCCGACACTGTGCCTTGCACTGCGCAGCCCCCCCCCCCCCCCCCCGCCGCCTTCCGCGTCTCTTCTCGCGGCGGCCGGACTGACCAGGGTCATCAACACACGGCTTGTGTGGCCCGGGTGGCGCGGCGGGGCGGGGCGGGGCGGGGCCTCCATCCGGCTGATTGACACTTGCGACAGGACAATCATCCTCGTAATGTGGCCAAGTTTTCACCCCTGCCTGCCGGTGTGTGCGCCCTGCCCCTGCCGGAAGCTTCAGCCGTGTATGTGTTTGCGCGACTGTGCGTGTGTATTTGAAGGTGGATTGATTGCCTTGTACTTGCAGCCCCCACAGCATCGCCCGGCCAAATAAAGTAACGGACACCTGCATGACCGCCACCGCACTGCTCTGGTTCCGATCATTGGCGGCCTTCCGGTTCCGGTTTCCGATTGCTGCGTCGTGTGGGTGGCATCGTGGCATCGGTGGCATGCGATGATCTCGGCGCCGTCATGCAGCGCGTGTGCGACGCAGTGCGGCGCAGTGCGGCGACGCTCCACAGCCCTTGGACCACGTTTTTCACCGCCACCCGCCTGCCACGCCTGCCACGCCCTTCGACTGCACTTCGTACTCGTCGAAGGAAGGGCTTGCGGCGGGGAGGGGGTCACGCAACACCGCGCCGTCCATGGCCGCCAACCAAAAAGACCCCCAAGGGCCCTGCGGCCCTGAGGCCCTCCGGCCCGGCCAACTGCATGCGCAAAATTTTTCGTTCGTTTTGTGGCAGCTGCACCCGGTCCTTTCCTGTCCGGCCATGCACCGCCCTCCTCCCCCCTCC